GCACGTAAAACTCGAACCTTGCGTTATTTGGAAGCAGCCTACATACGGAGGGAGAAACCAGACCTGTGTAAGCAGTTAGATCACGTGATCAATCTGCAATTGCCCTGGTAATCTCAAGCCTCTATTTTCCCCTGCCTGTGGTTTGTTGTTAACATTTCGTCTCCCTTTTTCCTTTTTGATGCTTATGTGGACGTCTTATCTGATTATTGATTGCTTTGAACTTTGACCTTGCTCTTATGCACTGCCATTCTGTACAAATTCATACTGCTGTGCGCTTTCATTCGTTACCTATATTATGCAGAGGGGTTGCAGTTGAAAAGCCGTCACGAAATTTATTGGCCCCAATAAATTCTGCTGTACATGCTTGTTTTCAATTCATACCCGGGAAAAAATGCTTCAAAAATTGTGAGGGCGAAAATGTCTTCTCGCACCTGGAGGCCCGTTCAGCAGAGAAACGCCCGAAATTCCAATTAGACAAGCTGCTCTTCGTTTAGGTTTGAACTGGATTATACACCAATTAGTAAGGCGCTCTGCTTGCGTGAGTTTCAGCAAACTCTAAGTCGTAATGTATCAATCGGTGGCAGTGGGCGTACATCCAGATACGGATTGCTTATTTATTCAGCATGGCATCCAGAATGCAGTACATGAAGACGTGTTTTGATGCGTTACGTCATTGAAATCCCTGCAGTTTGCTCAGGTAGATCGTCCAGTGTGAAGGATAAAACAGTGCACATTAGGGAAATTAATGACAAGTTTAGTGAAGCACTCGAAGTGATATTAGTCAACCTCTTGGTTGTTTTTTTATTCACTTTTAGACTTTACTCCAGAGGAATTTTGAGGTAAAGTTGTGCTACTTCTCGTGTATCCTGCGATTTTAAAGAATGAAATGCAGATTCTGTCGACATGCAACACCCACCCGTCTGTTCCCAATGACGTTAAATGTTAACTGTTAAATGCCAACTGTGTGGTTTATTAACCTCACGTGCGGATGTACAAGGCGGTGACGATTTCTAAGGGCATATTTAAGCGGGAATTGAGAATTTAACCTTGACACAGAGGGTCATTTATTTATTTCACTTCCAAAATCTCATATGGAAGACCGTGGTACTTCATTGCAACACGTCCTAGGCATTCTGGGCTTCAGTTTTCACTACAGCGTCCTTTTTGTAGGCTGCCACATGAGTAGTATTAAGCAGTCACTGCATTCTAGGCAAAAACGCAGACATAGCTGGGTTTTCCTAAATATTACCATGAAACTGTCACAAATTAAAAGCTCGATATACTTGTATGAAGTAATACTCAGGGTTAGATAATTAAGTATTGCAAGACCGTCCCGCGTGAAAGTGCCTCTGAGCCGTCTCTGATCACACTGTCAAACTATTTTGCCAAATGTGCGTTTGTTTTGTAATTTTCCACTGCAGAAAGTAGGTATGCCGACTATTTTCGTTGCTCAAGGTCATGTTCTTTTCGGATCTCAGGTTCATTGACTAGGCGACAGAGCATGATCAGATGGCGTGACTGCAGCTGCCTGCACGTTGGAGGGGACAGAAGAGGGATCACGGCAATGCGCCTGTCTGGAGGCGGCTGTTGCATGTGCTTCATCTGGCACAGGCAACATTTAAGAGAATTTGCTTGGTAGAATTGAGGTGGCAGGCGTTGCAAGCAAATAACTATCATCAACGAGGACTGTAAATCATTTTGCGTGTGCGTGTGTGTGTGTGCATATGGTGTCTATTCGCAGGCCTTCGCACAGCGTTTCCCTTCCTGAAGTTCAGGGTGGCGGGCATCTGAAACTCGAAGCCGACAGATTCATTTTTGGGTCTCCTTCGGAGATTTGTACTGGCCAAGTTTCCTTGCGCAGGTAGAAACGTTTGGTGGCCGGGCATGATTTTGAGGGTAGGTATCGTCATAAGAGACACAAGAGGTTTCATTGTTGTGGAAGCCTCAAGAGCAAGCAATTTTGCCTTTGAGGGCTTTTAGGATGCTACCGTCGTATTTCTGGTACAGTAGAACATCCAGTGTGAAACTGTTTGAGTTGCTGCTGTCGCCACCGCTAATTATACTGAGGTATATACCTCGTTTTTTCGCTTGTTAGTCAGTTTTGTCATTTTTAATCCGGGAAATAATGTCAACAAAGCGACGATGGTATTCCAAATTAGTGGCTATTGTTCTGTTCGGCGTTTTCGTAGTTGCACCAGGAAGTGTCAAACCGGTGTGCAGTTCACTGGTTTGTTCCTTTTTCTATATCCCGATCACTTTTAGGCAGTACTCTTTTTGGCAACTGCGACAATGTTGTAACGCATTCCTTTTCCCGACTCCCCAATAATTTTCAGCCTGATCTGCCATTGCATCAGCGTTTAGCGATTTCAGTCTACAAGCTGCATGCTTTCCGCGTAAGGAGAATCATATATTCCTCCATGCCTTTAAGAAGATACCACATAGAGTTCATGATATTTTGCAATGGGTCCGCACCGTGTCGTACATTTCATGGGGAGCATTAATAAACGGACATGTGCGGTCTTGCATGCATGGACATCGTACGATCTTAAAAACTCATAATTATAAACTCTTTAAAAAACGAAATATGCACTTTTTCGGGCATAAAATATGATGACAATATAATTTCTTCATAAATGAACAAAAGAAAGCATATTTTGGACATGTTTTCTGTAAAAGATAATTGAATTGATAAGGCCACCGAAAATAAATATGAAAAATGCATGCTACTTAATTTGTCATTTTTTGCCGAGTGGGGTGTCTGCAGGAGGTCAAAAAGAAGTGCATTTAAAAGCCGACATCCTGGCGAGCCCGCAATATTATAGGTTTATGTTGTATGATAATTAGTATAACAACCCCACCTTAGTAATCCTTCCCTAATGGGAAACGCATTCCAGAATTTTGACTAACATTTCGTGAGATCGGTCACGCACTAGAGTGCGTGGTCAATACAGACGGTAATTTTTACTTAAATATAACGCCTAATCATTAACTGACAGCATCTGTGCATCGTATCCTAACAGCCTATAAAAATTCACTCTATAACAAATACAGAAATCGGACCAATGGGCTGCCATGTCGGCGAAATTCTCCACTGTATCTTTTCGATATTCAGCTAAATATAACGGCATTTTTCGCTAAGGACTGCGGCAATATTGCACAGAAGATGCTTATTTACGCGTCCGAAATATGAGTCGAATTTCGCATTTGATTGCTCCGAAAAGTATCAAAGGGCCGAGTTCGGGACTGTCAAATCACGCCAATAGTCCAACTAGCAACAGGCCCTGCCTACCCGTCCAGCCAGTAGGATTGTTAATGTGTGAATCAGTCCATTCAAGCCCGATCATTCGACTTGTTTGTTTGATGGAGAACCTAAACCATCACACAGCTTTAAGTGGATCCGCTTCCTTTATGCTTCAGTACTCCTGCTAGTCGAATTCTACAGTCTACTGCAGACTAAAGAGTACAGCAGTATATTAAATGGCGTATGGGGTATGTGCCATTTCCTTGAAGGTTAGCATCCAAGTGTGGTAAAAAGGAGATTCAGACTCGTATATCCGGCGACTATCAATGGCAAACGCCAAAGCCATGTTAAAAACCACCTCCCTTTTCCTTGAGTCCGCTATTTCGGACATCAGGAAGCTATCGACAGACGTGTACCCTTGTTGTTGTCCAGGCATGTGATTATAAAATAGGGAATGTAAGGGAAGCGCTTCGGACTTTGCTGTCTGTAGGATTCTGAACTTAACTGATGGCGAGTTGGTTTGCGCAAACACTGTCTTTTCGGATCGGTATTCGCCAAAATTGTTTTCAATTCTTCGAACCTACGTATGAAACACAATAGTACAAAAGGCTCGAAACCGTCTTGGTTTGTTCAACAGTTCGTCTCCACTAGTGCATTTTAAAGGGCATGTACGCCCACGTGCGTGGCGGCCACCTAATAATGATACCCAGGACCCACAAGTAGCCAGTTACAGCTGTATGAAAGGTTATGCGAGAAGATTGTGTGATTTTAAGCAGAAAATTGATCGAGCGCTGAACTACATGTCTGTCTCAACCAAAATTGTCACTCAAATTTTTGAGATGGCTTGTCTTTGAGATCGCAGCCGAAGTCATCTCTGGAAAAAATGCAAGGCAGTCTGTCGTTTCGGCAGGAAGTCGACCAATGAGCATGTTAATTCCTCGCCAGTGTAAACCGGCCCAAACAATTACTTTGAGGCTTTGAATACCACCACATCCTCTAAATACTGAGTCTTTTGACGTTCATCTCTCACGATAGATTCTGGTTAGGGTCTTAGTGTTCAGATGAATGAACTTACGGGTCCGGCAGTGAACCAGCGCCGAACCTAGAGACGCTTTGCAACTGTATTCGGATTTTTAGCTAATTCCGATCGGTGAAATCCACTTATATCACAGGGCTACATGAGTTCAGCAGGACGTGAGTGGTAACATGTGTTTATGCCCATATGACATTGTTTAAAACCCTAAATTCTAGTCTTCCTTCATTTTTGAAAATCAAATTATTCCGTTAGATGTTTCTCAAACCAACCACAGTGACCAAAACTGTGCTGAATCTAACAAATAATTAGTTGAAGACTACACTGCAAACACTGACTCTGCACCTATGAATCTATAAAAGCAGGACATGTTGGCGAGTAAGTGTGAGGCCTACAACACTTCCAGGAGTTTTGGTCGTCGCGAGAAAAACGTGCCCATCAACCCGCGTGCGTTTCTACCCTAGGCAAACCACTAGCGAGGTAGGGTCCTCAAATGAACGAAAAACTCAAGACCATGCTACCTAACGCGCACCCAATTTTCAGTATGGAAGCAAAGCAGACGCTGTACTGAGTAGGCAAAAAATGTGAGATATGAGTTGCGCTGATTATTGTAGCTACTGTACAGTAGAAAGATAAACATTTCCAGACGGCAAATATGTATATCAAATAAAACATCGGTTTCTTTCTTAGAATAATGGGTCTTCGGATTTCGGCCTCCTCTGGAGTTCAGATGTGGGTAAATGCATACATAACGAGGGCAGAGATACCAGCGGACGCAGGGAGTGTCACCACCCACGCAACAAAGATGTTGATGAATAACTTCCAGTTTACGCCTTTACGTGAGCGAGCGAGGCCGACTGCAACCACAGAACCGACTTGACAGTGCGTGGTTGATACGGGAATACGTAATTTGCTGGCAACCAAAGCCGTAACTGCAGACCCCAGTTCAATGCTCACGCCGCTAAAAAGCAAAGAAATGCGTCGAAATTAATTTGTATTGATACATATTGAAAACCAATATTCTCATTATTGGACATGGAGACTTACTACGTCTGGCATGATTTCCCGTCCCAGGCGGGTTGTATACGGAGGAACTAAAGCTTTTTCAGTCACTAGGGCGGTCCATAACAGTCCAGCGTCCATATGTGCCAGCGGCGAGGGACGACTAAGGTCTGTGCGCATGCGTCCATTGTGCTGATGTAAGTACCGATCCACGCAATCATCATCCCGTCGCCAAAGACCATGCGCGCATCACGTACTGACACTATTATGAATTACCGCAGTCGTTTCACTAGCGAGAAGTCTGGAGCAAAGGTTCACACGTCAGCCCAACTGCTGACTACCGGACGCGTCTTTCAGTGGGCAAGCCTTCGACGAAGGTCGGGTCGCAGAGCACGCAAACCATCGAATCCGACAGATAAGCGGTCGCGACATAGCACGTGCAGGACAGAGGTCTATCATGCCAGCCGTCTTATGCCACAGTGATTGCTGACGATGCGCGACATGCCAAACGCGAATCGTCATTAAATAAAGTTGCCCACAACCGCCGCCTCGAGGTTAGATTTTTAAACCAAAGGGCTAAAGCAGACAACTCCTAACAAACATTCCAAGCAGCTGTTGGAGACTCATCTGTACACAAAATTCTCAAGAATCGCGTTACGGCGTCCGCGGGGATCGACGGGTCCCGGCACCCTAAATCAGTGGAGCCACCGAATACTATTCGGGCTGGATTTCTCATTCGAGAATGGCCACGATTCGTCATGCCAAATTCCAACCACGGTCATTATAGTCTGTGCTAGACTGCTGTCTTTACTATTTTTCAAAACCGAGAGGGGCGTAAGGTTTACGGTGTCAGTGTCATAAGATCTCAAAAATGTCGCAATCAGTTCACCCTCACCTGGACGGAGTCATTGCTGTGAGATCCTCACCAATGGTTTGGATCACTCGACGACCCCAAACCCATAGACCGACGGAAATTCCGACTCCTCCATAGACGAGAAGGAGGATAGGTGTATTCTTGTCTATCGTAACGGATCCTGTTGTACTAACAATCCAAAGCCCAATAAGAGGTCCGATTGCGTTACTAAAAAATTGAGAACATATACCGTTATTAAAACTGCTTTGAAAAGTCATGTCTAGCTGTGCTTCATGTGACCTACCTAACATCATTGCCACCATGAACAAAAGACCCAAAAGTTGCCGTAAGAATCTGAGCGTAAGAGAAGACTTTGGCTTCCTCAGGTCGATCAGTTGCGATTGCTGGTTCCGAATACTAAAAATTCAAAAAGAATTTCGTAAGTTCGTCGATATACACCCCAAGTATAGAATTATGACGTGTGAAGCTTAGCTATGTGCTTCATTTCCGAAGTTACAGTTGAACCAATAACTGCGGTTCCACTTTAGTTAACATCAAGTTTTTGTTTAGCGATATGATAACTTAAGCTCTGAAGGACAAAGAATACTTACGGAGATGGCATCATCATCCTCACTTGCGGTCACGTCAGTTCCTGACAGTAATATGATATCATTCTTCGGTGGGCTGTCAGGAATTTTTTCTTTTGAAAGCGAATCTTGAAAAAATGAGAGGGAACATGAATGCAGTTTTGGGGAACAAGAGTATGTTTTGAGAGTTGTCTGATGTTCGGTCTTCGGAAACATACAAATGCTCAAACAATCTGACAGAAACCTCTAAAATTCAGGAAAACGGGGTAAATAGTCGATTTTATAAACTGGATGGTGCAAAGGAATTTTTTGTGCTCAATTTGGAAAGAATCGCAGGGTCAATGGTGAGGAAAACAAACGGATTATTCAACTCAGGCGCTGTTTAGGGGCTTACCACCGTCCAATGTCCGCTCGGGCGTTTCGCGGCAATCGAAAGTCGATTCAGATGCCACCGGGTGTAGGAGTTCCGATTTGGAGCTAAGCACTTCATTTCGGTGAATAGGTTTTGGCATCATGTCACCGTCAGCCGAAACACGAGCTGAAACCAGTAACACATGATTGGTTGGTTGGCTTGTGCTTGTCATAATCGACAGAGATGACAGCAGGAAATATGACTACAAATGCGAAAATGCCTTCTGTAAAAAGGCGAAATCGTATGCAACATGTTAATTTCTGTCACCAAAAGTGGGTGAAGTTCTAAGTTCACTACGTAAGACAAGTAAGGGAACGCGAAGGAAACTGTACGCATGCAAGAGAACAAAGTGTTAAGGTTACTGTATGGCGAAAGATTTTTTGACATCATACACGCCTAATTTTTAATCGTAGAACAAATATCTGCACGACCCCTGAAGGGCGGTTTTTAGTAACTATAGTTGAATTTCGGAACGAAAAGCTTGGGTACTGACTGAGACTCCTGAACTACTAGCGAGGCATCCTTGTAGATGTCACAGTTTCGCGAGCTTATTCAGGACTACGGTCGACGCCTGCTAATACCATATTTCCGCTTTTGTATCATAGCTGCGAAAACTCCGCCAACCAGCGCGTAAGCAGGCCAAGCAAAACCTGTTTGCATTTATTAGCTAGCGGCGTGCAATCACCCCAATGTACCTTTATGGCTATCTGGCGCGCGTGACGCGTGGTGTGCACGTTTTTAGGGCATGTCCAACGCCTCGCGCTTCTTTCCGAAGGCGTGCCTTCCCGCAGCCCGCTCCCTGCTTCCTCAGACTACAGACTGACGTCACCAGCGAAATCGCCCAATACCATGAGATAACAGAATAGATAGGCAGCCAATGCCAGCAACTGACGAACGGCCTACGATTAAGTTTGTGCGCTTAGTTAGCTAGCAAATACCACAAGTATTCCAAAAACAGACCTAGCCTGCCCTTATTTCGATGCTCTTGTTCTGGTGTTTTGTTCCCTGTCCGTCTTTAGCAAAAGATGATGGGATGAAGTAAGGTGAACCTCCGGAGACGAGACTTATCCGAGCAGTGAGATCTATCTCACAAAGACAGGTCTGACAATCATGGAGTCATAATTGTAGTGCAGCTAGCCAAGTCATAAATTTAAAAACGAGAGAAGAATGGAAAGTGCTACTGATAAACATGCATTTAAAAGCCGCGGGCAAACGGATTTACTTCTGTAAACAGTGAAAAACCAAGTGACATTTGGAAACAAAAGTGCCAAGGAAGAGGACTATGTGGGAGGCGAATACAGAGATAGGAGCATATCCTATGTCAGCGTCCGGCAAAATAAAGGCTAAAATGACTCACTGACCGTAATAAATTGTGCATGGAGTCCACAGACAGTGCCGCATTCAACGGGCATTAAAGCCCGAGAAGCAGCCGAAACCCACCTCTCAGACAACGTCTATCCCTTTGACCATCATCCAGTGTATATGCCACCCTGCCATACAGTGGCAGATAGATGGCTGTATTCGGTAGTTCTCTGTTCGCAAACACCAGCAGTGGTGGTGGAAGTAGTAGTCCGCTGGAAATAGGATGGCATCATACCGCAAAAAATACAGTTACTGGGGTGTCAGTTCATGTGCAGGCCAGCTGCTATCAAATTGGACACAACAATAAATGGCCTACGGTGGCACCGGCCTGCTCGGGAGAAGCAAGGTTAATTGCAACACCCCGAAAACGACGCAGTCTCTTTCCCAATGACACACAAAGGTCTGAAAATATTTCACACCAGTTCCCGATTCCAGGGCTGTTGTGGGGCTAAAGAAAGAGACAAGAATGTTACAGGCGCAGACTGCAGAGGCACTAAGCTCAAGCCGACCCCATTACCAATGTCAAACACAGCTCGTATTGTCCTTTTGAATATTCCTGGATGCCTTGTTTAGACCGCCAATGAAACTGTATTGCTACTTTGCTCGTAACAGCTAGACACAACGCACGCGAAGCAAACTGAGACTGACGGGTTTTGAACAGGATGCGCTTGGTTTTCCCAACACATGCCATTACTTCGGTTGGTTTGCTAGCACTATTGACGCAAAGGATTCTCTACTTATAAAATAATTGTTTCAGTTAACGCAGAAAAAGTCCTCGTCTGGCAAGGCATCATATATTTACGTCTGCTTATTTGCTGTTCCAATATCACTTATTTTTAGAAATTTAACACAAAAGTCGAAGTGTTAACCAGATAAGTTATTATGCATGTGTTTTCCTCTAATAAGTCAGTGATAAAACTTAGATTGGCAATCGTCAGATGACGTTTGTGTGCAAGTGGTTGAATTTGGTTATTCGCAATCGATCGCCTAGTTCTAATATACTAAGTTTGTGGTAGCCAAAATGGAATTTAAAACGAGTAAACATTTTACATTCATATATAAGCACAGAATAACTGAATCTCGGCCAAACAGAATATCTCATCCTAGAAACAAAGTGCACCTACCGGATGTGGATGAATGTAATCCGCTTTCTGCATCCATTGAATGGCCTTTGCAACAGGAACGGCAGTGCACAAAGTCCAGGAAACGTTTGTATGAGGTCGTCAAAAAGGTCCGGAACCGCGATGGCTCACCAACACTTGAGGTTCCATCCCAACCCTCAAGCTCTCGTTGTTTAAGCAGTTCCACGTACACTTGAAAGGTATAAATTTGAAATTGAGTGCGCGAATATGATTAGCTTCTCGTGATTTCTTAGTTGGTTGGCCTACATTGGGTTCCCACTGTATTTTAGAACTAGGTACATTAGATAAATAATCTCATGTCAGATGGAAGAAAATAATAAAGAAAAATTGAAAACGTACACAGTGTTCGCTTTCTAACGAATGGAACAACCAGGAGGTATACGATCAGACCAATTACGAGTCCAGATGCAAATGACGCTACGAAGACGGCCCAAAGTGGAATCTTCAAATTGAAACCTAAGAAAAATAATTAGTCCTTCTGTATGTGAAAGCTTATACAGGGCCTCCTTACTCAAATATTTTTGGTGGACATAAAATAACTAAAGGACTTCGTTTATAAAACTTACTAGGAATTCCGCCAAATAAGACGGAAAATACGTTCACGATGATAGTGCAAGCGAAGATGAAAGGCAGGGACCGCAATGCCGGTTCCAATGGCTTTTCCTTAATGTTAAAAAGTTTATTAAATTCGAACCTTCACTATACGCACAAGTAAAATTGGTAAGAAATTAAGTCAAATATGTAAAAAAATGTAGGTACCTTTGACAAAACAAACCGTTTTATGAAGAAAAAGATTATGAATGACACTGCGCCACTGAGAATGGGAGCGGCAAACCACGAAATAACTAAAACAGAAAAGGAGTATTTTCCAGTTTGCCGCACGATTGTGGGAGGCATAACGGTTTAATGCTTGCATTGTTTGATTAGTCTGAGGCCAAAATGCACCTAAATAAGGACACGTTCACTTTAAACATCATTTTCAATCCCGCAATGTATAAGATAAGATTTGTCTCTACGTAAATGCGTCATATATTTGGTTTCTGATTTAGTAACATTGTCGACATCTGAGTTTCATAGTAAGAGCGTTAACAGTCATGAACCTTGTCAAAGACCATAATCTGCAGTCAGAAATTTTCTTAACAAACGCATCCTATTAGAATGTTAATGAAGAGGTCGTTGAAAATACTTGGTAGCGACATGAGTAAAATATGGATTATGAATAGTTTCATACGCTGTTTCTTTAGCCACCTTAATTTTGAGAGTTTAAATGCTCAATGAACTTTAGATATAACGTCACTTAACCATTAATGTCCTCGATTTCGATTCTGTCTTGGATCCCAGTGTCATCAGCCACACAATTCGACACTCAGTGCAAGCCAGAATACCCACTTCTCCCATCAAAGAACACGATTTAAAAAGTGCCTATGAGAACGGCTCTGTGTCCGAGACATTTTTTACGCTTTTACGAAGCTATGTCAAGGGGTCAGGTTTTAGGTACTTCAGCCTTCCAGGGAGGGTCATGTTAGAGAAGTCAGTTTCCGTCACTTACATAACAGCATGTAGTTAGAAATAGTGTAGTGCTGAAGTGTTTGGTAGTGCAAGCTGGCCTGATGTCGAGCACACGAAAAATGGCGCATATGTTAATGAATCTAAAAGGTTTTAGTTTTCGCTCGCATACCTATTTTTAGAACGCCCATCCACTTGATGCCGTGAATCCCAAACTGAACCAAACCGTATCCCGCCGTCGCCCCAACGATGCTGTGAGTTCCGGACACAGGAAGGCGAAAGAAAGTCGCAATGAGCATCCATATGCATGCACCTAAATAGTCAGTCAAAAAATAAAAATAAAATTGTATTCGCTGGAAGTAATGGGGATCAAAGGTATCATGTCATATTTTGCGACATGTTTGTCTTGAAAAATGTTATCTCATGCATTAGGAATGTAAAGTATGGGCTTCTCATTACTATCTTAAGGAGCGGTAACAGTCTACTTCATGTGTGCTTAGTACAAGGCAAATAACATGAACGGTACCTGCAAGCGACGACACTTGACCTTTCATAAGAAGCAGTGGGCCGTCCGATGTGCTGTTAAATCGGGCTGTATCGACAATACCATTTTTTATGGTTTCAGATACCTGACCGCCTAAGTTTAAAATGGTTAAAGACAACTACTTGACAAACCAAGAAAAATCGAGCCGGTCAATTCGCAAATCGAAGCAAGCGTGCATGCTGCCCGGAGCGTCAAAACTTTGGCTCCAACACTTGTACCAAACGTATTTGCAACATCGTTAGCTCCAATTCCGAAGGCCAATAAGAAGGCTATCAGAAAGCCCACCAAAACTAACACCAACTCTGATTCTTCCAGCATGTTAACCTGAAAAAAAGTTATAAGTAAATTTTATGTTTGGGAGTCTGTAAAAGTCACATTTCAAGTACTTCCGAAAGACCTAGTTATTGCAAAATACAACATGCTGTTGTCCTTTTACATCAAAAGCTTCGCCCGTCTTTACATGATGGGTTAATTCGCGTTGCTGGTTATTGGCGAACGCTCGAATGGGGCAGGGCAAAGATTCTATTGTGCCCTAATTGTGTGTTTTAATACACCGTCGGAATCCATTAGCTTTCTAGCAAAATAAACGTTATGCTGAGTGAAAATATTTCCGTCCTCACGTGTTGCCTTGCACCTTGCATGACGATATAGACAAATCCGTAGCGAATTACTCATTTGATGTTTATTCGCGTATCCAAGGACACGCTCTCCTAAAATTTGTTTTTGCTCAGAAACTCTGCTCATAAGATCCTTGATCGGATATTAGGATAAAAAGGTGGGGTGCAACGTTGAGAATTATCAAAAATCGCAGGATCATAAAAGGAAAGTTGGGCTTACAGACGAAAGCTGTGCTGCAATGAGAATGCCCAGTTGTTCAAAGCCAACAAGGTTACGTCGCGTAGGACCTACGTATGCGCTTTTATTGTAGTATGTACCACAATAAAAACGAATATACCCCTTAGCGGTGATACATGTAGTGCGTTAAAATTGTTTGCCCGTGACTGAATAAAGTATATTATATTATGATGCTATAAACACCTTGTATCAATCAAGACCAGACCATCTGTCGGGGTAACAATGTTAACTGGAGGCCGTGAACGACATGCACTGTCCTCAACTGCCATTTATATGATCTCAAATGTTAAGAGAATATGTAAAAGTCATCCTATCCACGAAGAATACGTTTTCATTAAGACAAGGTAGACAATCGTGTCACCCAAAAATTTTAACGAGTTATTCTTTTGCAGTGGGATTAAATTATGTACACTGGCATTAGTGCTTTCGTGCTTACATAAAAGAACCGATTAACGGGACAGAAAAAGTTAGACTACAAATGAAGCGGTGGTTACCAGAAAGCTCTGTAGACCCGCGCAAGAAGACAAGACCGTTTCCAGTGGAGTAACAGAGGGTTCTGGGTATACTTATATACCGAACGATAGGCAGCGCGATCCACGTACACGTTGTCACAGGAACAACCAATAAGATTGAGGTTAGTGGAAAAAAGGTTTATGAATAATGAATTAATTTGAAGCATGAAAACAAAAGCAGATTGTAAGGTCTGTTAGCCGGAGAAAATTGTTTTTGTGCAAACCTATTAATATTTCGTGACTGTTGACAAATTGTTTACCAAAAATGCACCCGAACATAGACGTTATTGAGAGAATTCCGAAACTCTGAGAAGTGACCAAGGTAAAGAATAAGGGGACGAGGTTACTTTGAATAGATGGCCTGCTCTTTCCGATCAGTTTCTGCGAAATTTAATTTACGTGCTCCATGTGTGTAATGCCTAACAAGCGATGTGAATACTTCCTATGACTCTTCCAATGAATTTTCACAGGTTTTCATGA